CTCCTGGACTTTGATCTCTGTTTTCTTTGTCAAGTTAGGGAAATTTTTGGCCCTTATTTCTTCAAATAGGGTTTCTATCCCTCTCCCTCTCTTTTCTTTCTGGGACCCTGTAATTTGATGTTAGTACTCTTAATAGTGTTCCAGAGATTCCCTTATGTTATCCTCAATCTTTAGAATTTTTTTTTTTTATCTTCCAGTTGGGTGATTTCTACTATCTTATCTTTCTGATTGCAGATCTATTCTTCTGTGCCATCTGATCTGCTTTTGTTTCCCTTGTATATTTTTTTCATTTCAGTTGTGTTATTCTTTATTTCTGATAGGTTCTTTTCCACAATTCTTATGTTTGTTGAAATTCTTACTGATTTTATCCACTTTCCTGAAGAGTTTTTTTAAGAACCTTTTTGACTGTTACTTTGAACTATTTATCTAGTAGACAGCTTATCTCTTCATTTAGAACTTTTTTCAGGGATTTTTGTCCTATGTATTTTTGTTTGGAACCTATTCTTTTGTCTTCTCATGTTGCCTGTATGTTTTTATGTATTAGGGAGATTAGCTATGTCTCCTGGTCTTGAAAAAGTGGCTTATTTAGAAGGTACCCTGGGGGGCCCTGGGATGAAATCCTTCTTTTTCATGAGAGCCAGGTGCTCCAGAGGTGCTCCTGTGTGGACTAGTTTGGCCTCTTGTTGTGCTATGGTCACACTGATAGCTGAGGCTTGACCCTGGCCTGGCTGGATAAGGCCTGGCTGTGACTGTTGCAGTGTGCTGGTGTGCAGGTAGGCCTTTGGTATGACTCGCTGCAAGTCTCAGCCTTGAATTGCAGACACACTGTTGTTTGTTGATGCCAACTGAGGCTGCCCACTGGGTATGGCTGAGCAGGAGCCACTTTGGAGGAGGGGTATCAGCCTGGGTGAGTCCTCAGGTAAACATCAGGGTGGGTTTAGCAGTGTTAAAAAGTTGTAATGGAGAGTGTCAGAAATGGGCCTGCCAGTATCAGATCAGCTAGGTGGAAGGAGAGTAAAGAAAGGGGAAAAAATGATGACCACCACCACTTTTTATCCTGGATAAAGTTCCAATAGTTCCATGATCTTCCAGCACATGCCTTAAAATTAGTCAATATATCACCTTTATGAATGACCTGGGTGTTTTTAAAACTGCTGCTTCTGTGCTGGGACTTGGAAGGAGCACAGTTTTGATTTTCTGCAGCCCTTCAGCTCTCCAAAAGTAATTCCTGCTGGTTTTAAAAGCCAGATGTTATAGGGGCTTCTCTTCCTGGTATAGGTTCCGTGGGCTGGGGCCCAGACCCCTTGCTCTTTGTGGGGGACCTCTTTGGTTGTGATATCTCTCCCACTTGTGGGCCAGCATAAGAAGTGGTTGTTTGGTGGGTGCTAACATGACTTAGTCTCTACTCCTCCTACCTCTCTCAGTGTGGCTTTTTCTTTATATCTGTAGCTGCAGAAAAGTCTTTCATGACATTCTCAGAGATAGTTGTATATATGTAGTTGTAGTTTTGGTGTCAGTGAGAGGTGGTGAGCTCAGGGTCTTCCTACTCTGTCATCTGGAAACCTGAAAACCAAGAGACTTTCTCTTGAATGCCAGTTTACTGTGTCTGAAATGTTGTTCTTTGCTGTTGGTACACTGTCCTCACAACAAATTGTGTCTCTGGATTGCCGAGTCAGTTTTCCCATCACTTCTTTTCTTTTTTCTTTTAGTTTTTTTGAACTATTTTATTTATTTTAAATATATTTTATTGATTATGCTATTACAGTTGTCCCATTTCCCCCTTCACTGCCCTCCCCCCTGCACACCCTCTCCCACCCACATTCCCCCCTTTAATTCATGTCCATGTGTCATAAATTCTTTAGCTTCTACATTTCCCATACTATTCTTGCCCTCCCCCTGTCCATTTTCTCCCTACCGTCTATGCTACTTATTCTCTGTATCTTTTCCTTCTCTCTCCTCCTCCCACTCCCCTGTTGCTATCCCTCTATGTGATCTCCATTTCTGTGGTTCTGTTCCTGTTCTAGTTGTTTGCTTAGTTTGCTTTTGTTTTAGGTGTGGTTGTTAATAACTGAGTGTCCTTTTTTACTGTTCATATTTTTTATCTTCTTTTTCTTAGATAAGTCCCTTTAACATTTCATAAAATAAGGGCTTGGTAGTGATGAACTCCTTTAACTTGACCTTAGTTGACAAGTACTTTATCTGCCCTTCCATTCTAAATGAAAGCTTTGCTGGATAGAGCAATCTTGGATGAGGTCCTTGCCTTTCATGACTTGGAATACTTCTTTCCAGCCCCTTCTTGCCTGTAAGGTCTCTTTGGAGAAATCAGCTGACAGTCTGATGGGAACTCCTTTGTAGGTGATTGTCCCCTTATCTCTTCCTGCTTCTGGAATTCTCTCCTTCATTTTAATCTTGGGTAATGTAATTATGATGTGCCTTGGTGTGTTCCTCCTTGGGTCCAACTTCTTTGGGACTCTCTGAGCTTCCTGGACTTCCTAGAAGTCTATTTCCTTTGCCAGATTGGGGAAGTTCTCCTTTATTATTTGTTCAAATATGTTTTCAATCTGTTGTTCCTCCTCTTCCCCTTATGGTACCCCTATAATTCGGATGTTGGAATGTTTAAAGATGTCCTGGAGGTTCCTAAGCCTCTCCATTTTTTTAAATTCTTATTTCTTCATTATTTTCTGATTGTATGTTTTTTCTTCTTTCTGATCCACTCTGTTGATTTGAGGCCCAGTTTTCTTTCCATCACTATTGATTCCCTGTGCATTTTTCTTCATTTCACTTAGTGTAGCCTTCATTTTTTCATCTAATTTGCGACCAAAGTCAACCAATTCTGTGAGCATCCTGATCACCAGTGCTTTGAACTGTGCATCTGATAGGTTGGCCATCTCTTGGTTTCTTAAAAGTATTGTCTCTGGGGCTTTCATTTGTTCTTCCATTTGAACCTGTTTTTGGGGGGAGGGGGTCTGGTAGTGCCTGTTATGTATGAGGGGTGGAGCCCTAGGTGTTCTCTAGGGTGGGGCAACCCAGTCACTGGGTTGTGACATTGTATGTGGAGGCAGGGTCAGAGAGGGAACAATAGCGCTTGCTCTGCTCTCTGTCGGATTTCAGTCCTCTCTGCTGTTTCCCACAAACAAATTGGGTCCTTCTGGTGCTGGTTCCCGGGTGCGTGGGCTTGTGTATGTTCTAGGACCCTATGGGTCTCTCCAAGGAACTCTCCTGTGAGGCTGGGAGTTTCTCCCGGCACCTCAACCTACACAAGTGTTTTCAATCAGTGCTTTTAGTCTTTATTTCCTGGCTCTGGGGCCCTGGGTTGTGTGGTCTGTCTCGCTGCCTATTTTCACCTGGTTTATCTGTGTGGGAATGTGTGATTGCAGACAGCCAGCTGCCTTGTGCGCTTCCCTGGGTCTGCGTGTTGCCTCCCTGTACCCACGCCCGGGGTCTGCCACAGGGGTCTGCCACTGGGGTCTGCTAGCCCCTTCCTGCGCCCTGCGCGCCAGGGGTCTGCCAGCCACTGCTTTTTCCTACTGGACCCCTCTCCGCTGGCCACCAACTCTGCCCCTCTTACCTGTCTGGATGAATGGTTGTTGGGACTTCCGTACAGTTCAATTTTCTGTCTGTCCTGGTTGTTTTTTGTTTCTAAATTTTTGTTGTCCTTAATTTTGGTTGTGCGAGGAGGCACAATGTGTTCACTTATGCCTCCATCTTGGCCGGAAATCCTGAATTATTTTATTTTGTCCTTTTTTTGTATTGGAGGTCTTCCTCAAATCTCTGGTCCTTAGTTTCTATTCATATCTGATGTTGAAAAGCTGATTGGTAGCCCTCTTTACTTGGATAGGACTTGGTGACTGACTTTACATTATAGTGATTGGGTGTATATAGAATTTTTTGGAGCTATATATATAGCTATATATAGATGCCACCCTGTAGGGGTCTGTTTCCTATGGTTGTTAAGTTGTTTGAGAAAAGAAACCTTCTTTTTCCTACCTGTGGCCTAGATGCATGGCTGCTAGTACTCTGTCTTTGGGTGCAAGGAATGGGCCTGCTTGGCCTGTGGCTGTTGCACATCAGATCCATATTTGGAGTTCCTGTTGTTAGCTCTCTCATGTGCTTGCATTTGCAGGCTTTGAGTTTGTCGGGGGTTCTCAAGCTTTGTCTTCCTCTTCTGTGTAAAGTCAATTAAAACTTTTCCATCTGCTTTCTCTTTTTCAAAAATGTGTTGCTTTTCCTCATTTTTTTGATGTTAGCTTTCCCTTTCCCCCTGTCTTTATGGCTTTTTATGTTTTAAATTACTTTATTGTCTTTTTAGTGTGGTCTCAGGAGGAACAGGATATAAATATATCTTCTGGTCAGGATATCATCCTTAATTGTTTTTTATGGTTTTATGGATGAGAATACATGAGGTAGGATTAAGGCATTGCAATTAGTTTTGGGTATGTTCTTGGGTAAGTTATACATTTACACAACATCTGAAGTATAGACAAGGTTGGAAATTACTGCTTATGGTAGAATGGCTATATATAGCTACCCTGGTAACTCACTTATGTATAACCTCATGGTAGTTTGCTTATAATTGGTATTCAGTTGGTGAATTAAAAATATTTACACTGTAGTAGACTATTTTTTCTAAACATTTTCTATTCACCTCATTGCTTTTTTCATTGAAATAGCCTCGGAGTTTTATTAATTTAAATAGAAGTAAATATACAAAACTAATGTAACTAACTTCTCTCCATCCCCCCTTTCTTTTCAAGTTTGTAGGTTACTAAACAGTTCTTTTATAGCTCTTTGAGCAGTGGAACTTTCATTTTAAAAAGTGCCTGCATTCCTTCTTTTAATGAGAGAAAACAGTGTCTGGTGTTTGGTTCTAGGATATATGGAACACCAATTAAATTATTTTCATAGAGTCATACAGTGTGCCAAATTTAAAATGTCACTACATGTATATATCGGCTCTTTCTAATTTGTGACATTTCTTCATCCTTTTTTTTAACATTTAGGTAAATGGACAATGTGCTGGCCACACAGCTATGCAAGCTGCAAGTCAGAATGGACATGTCGACATTTTGAAACTACTTTTAAAACAGAATGTGGACGTAGAAGCAGAGGTAATTAAACTAAGCTTGAAAAATATTTTAAGTAAAAATGTCCTAGAAATGGTACTTCTATAGCATAAGATGAATTGTTTTGATTTTTGAAATTTAATACTGACCTAAGGCTTTTCTCATTGAAAAAAAAATTGACAAAAAACAACTTGAAGCATTTCTTGTTTTTTCTGTGACCCCCTCAATACTCTTGGAAATAGTCCCAACTGCTGTTGGAAACCCAGTAATATTCCACTGAAGAATTATACTGGGAAGTTGAGGGCAGGAGACTATAAATCACGCGGATCAAGATTTTTTCTGAGTGACACTCAGAGACCTTCATTATGTTCTTTTTCCTCATAAGTGAACCTGTATTAGACTTTGTTTAGTCTTATTGTTTCTTGACCTTAATGTGAATCTTTGAAGATTTTGCAGTGCATGTTTATCATTCTCTATGTTTATGCTTAATTTAATTTAGAGTATATTCTCATTAATGGAAAATAAAAATTTCTTACTATCACTGGAATTTCAGTTGAGAATCTATATGGGTCATGTGAAAGAAGGTTTCCTTTGTTGTAATTAACTATAACTTCATTCCTAAAAATGATATTAGAATTACATTTCTTTCAGTCTAGTGCAATATTATTTAGGAATAAGATTCTTTCAAAGTTATACTAGGCAGAATGTTACAGTTTTGTTCAAATTAAATTTCCATATTAATATATTAGATGTCTGTAAGCTGTATGATGTATTTATGAATGAGATTATATAATTTGATTTTGTTTTTACAGTAGTAATTTTTAAGTCACAGCATTCTTGGTTGTGAATTTAGGAACCCAGCATGTGTTACAAAGTTTTTTGGAAATGCAAGAAAGACTTAATTTAAATTTAGCATTTTGTAAGTGACAGGCAGTTATTTCATTTTGTTATTTTATTTTAGTTTGGCCTATGGAATATCCATTTTTTAATTTAATGAATTTAGAAACTACAGTAGTAACAACTACTAAAATATCAAAGCCCTTTTGATTATAGCTAATAAGGCAAGAAGCTGAAAAACCAAATTTCTTTTTGCTTACCTTTGAAAAAGTATGCTTTCTAATTCAGAAATTAAATTAATTTAATTCAGAATTTAAATATTAAACATGGAAACATAGAGACTATCCATAAATTTGTATTTCTAAATATTTATTGTTCACATGAGAGGCTAGCTGTTCAGAATAGGCGTGCTATGGCTGTGGGGTTGGGAACAAAATGAGCACTGGTTTTCAAAAGTAGGCTTCTTTTTGCCTTAATTAAACTCAAATACAAAACAAATGGTTAGTCAATACTATAAACGAGGTAATGTTGGAGTTGGAATGAGGCATAGTAGGCTAGGAGTTTGTAAATAATTTATCTTTCAGTTTGAAAACTGTGTGTGTTACAAGAACAGGGAAATACTTGTAGACTTCTACCATACCTCTTCATTTAGATTTCTATTCCGTCCATTTTCTATTTTTAAAACCATTGTAGGCTTATGTAACTGCTAGAAATAATGTGGAAAGGGAATATTTACACATCAGGTTAAATTAATAACATAACTTCTCAATTGATAAAAGAAAAACTACATTTAAAAAATAGGTTAAAATATAAACACAATTTATCACCTAAGACTAAAACAAAAATTCATCAGTCTCATTTTTCTAGAATATAAAAAGTGACATTATCTATTATAGGCAGCAATATAGTTTGTTTTAAAACATTGATTTTCAGTTGGGAACATTTTTGATTGACACAACTCCTTGCTGGGGTTGGAGGAGTACTTCTGGAATCTAATGGGAAGAAAGTAAGGATGCTACTAAACATCCTGCAGAGCACAGGACAGCTCCCACAATAAAGCATTATCTGGCCTGAAATGCCTATAGTGCTGAAGTTAAGAAACCCTGGTTTAAAAGATGGAGAAAATAGTTAATTTGGTAAATGCATTTAAATTTGTGGTTCATTATTTTCCACCTTGTTTATAAAGTGATTTGAAATTATTGGAAATTTTCCACATTTATAGAAATAGAATGGTATAATGAATCCTATGTACCCAGTACCCCAGTTTGGTTATTTTTCATGGCCAATTTTATCTTATCTGTACCCTTTACCCTCACTCCTCCACTGACTTATATTGAAGCAGTTACACATTTCGTCTGTAAATATTTTAGTATGTATCCTAAAAGATAAGTATTCTTTAAAAAAAACTTTGTCATACCTTGAATATACTTAAAAACAATTGTTAGGATCTTTGAAAATCTAATTTTATTAGAAGTTTTGAGGTTAATAATGAGAATAATATGTTTCTTCTCTAGTTGTCTCATTGTGCAGTTTTTAAAAAAATTGTATGAGGAAGTAGACTCAAGGTAGTGCACATCAGGAGTCACAAACTGTAGCCCACAGGCCAAATCCAGACTCTATTTGTATTCTATAGTTTATTAGAATACAATACACTCATTTATTTGTTGTGTATGGCTGTTTTTGTGATAAAACTGCAGAGTTGAGTAGCTGCATAGTTGTGCCAAGAAACTGCATGGCTTGTAAAACCTAAAATACTTTGGCCCTTCACAGAGAAGTTTTCTGACCCCTAGTATTGATGATTATTGCATATTTTTCAATTGCTTTAAGCTGTTATCAGATAAAATTATGTTGTCTCCATCACACCTTTTGAATATGGGATAAGATACATTTTCCTATTTCTTTTCTTAGTGAAAACTTAAAGAGCTACTTTGTTTCCAAGAGCTACTTTGGTTATCTCCATGTGTGACCTACTGAGTAGAGTAGGATTACATTGTTTCCTTCTTAATGTATAGGTAAAGGCACCAAGGACTGTGAGATCTTATTTGTATTGATATAGGTGAGCTAATTTTGGATTCTTCAGGAACTCAGTATTTTTTTTCCTGTTGATGAGGTATAATAGTAAAGGTGTGGAAGTGTGAATGGAAGACCAGTTAGAAAAATTGTGTCCTTTAAAATAAGTTTTCAAATATATATATTGAAGTTATCAGGAAATCTGGATCAGTTTTATCATTTAAGGTTAATGAAAACTGTTTTTGAATGGAGAGGATTAATTGTATGGAACAATACTGGACTTGGTCAAAAAACCCATTTGGTATTGGACAAAAAGTTTAATTTATATAAGCGTCAGTTTTCTCATTTATGATAACTTAAAGGATTGGAGTGTGGAATTAGGGAAATAATTAAGATAACATTTATAATATATAACACCATGGGAATTTAAGGTATTATTGCCTGTATTTGAGCATTCCTACTACCCATTTCTTTCCAATTGGTGGAAGTTAGTAGTTTCTCTATAAACAGTTACTAATTCTGTCTGATTCTGCTTATCTAGTTAATGAAAAGTAAACTAGAAAAATTTTATTTAACTGAAAAGCTGTGAAGGAATGGGCAAATGGACTTCATATTAGTCAGTTAAAGGAAATTCTTTTCTAAAAACAGTTCAGGACTCAGAATAATAACATCCAAAATGGCTCTAAGAATTGGTGTACATAATTCTTGGGGGTGTATGTTAATTCAGGTCCTAGCCAGAGCAGTAAGGCAAAAAACAAAGTAACAAAAGGCATCTGCATTTGAAAGGAGAAGTAACATTATCTCTGCAGATGATATAATTTTACATGTAGAAAACCCTAAAGAATTAATTAAGAAATTCAGCTGAATAGCAGGATACAAAGTCAACTCACAAAAGTCAGTTGTTCTGTACACTAACAATGAACAATCTGTAGAAAACATAAGAAAACAACTTCATTTACCATAGCATGAAAAAGAATAAAATACTTAGGAATTAATTTAACCAAGGAGGTGAAAAACTTGTGCAATGAAAACTCGAAATTATTGCTGAAAGAAATCAAAGGAGACATAAGTAAATAGAAACATATCCCATGTTCATGAATTGGAAGAATTAATATTGTTAAGATGTCAGTGCTAGCCAAAGTGATCTGCATATTCAGTGCAATGCCTATCAAGATCCCAGTGATGGTTTTTGTTTTTGCATAAATAGAAAAATCGATCTTGAAATTCAATATGTCATCTCAAGGTACCCCATAGCTAAAACTGTCTTGAAAAAAGAACAAATTCAAAAGAGTCACTCTTCCTGGTTTCAAAACTTACTACAAAGCTACAGTAATTAAACCACTGTGGTCCTGGCATACAGACAGACATATAAACCAATGGAATAATATAGAGAACCCAGAAATAAACCTTTGCATATATGGTTAAATGATTTTTGACCAGAATGCAAAGACCATTCAATGGGGAATGGATAGTCTTCTCAAAAAATAGTGTTGGAAAAACCAGGTATCCATGTACAAAAGAATGAAGTTGGACTTTTACCTAACATTGCATATAAAATTAACCCAAAATAGATCAAAGGCCTAAATTTAAGAGTGAAAAGTATAAAATTTTTAGAGGAAAGCATAAGGTAAAGCTCATACATTAGATTTGGCAGTGATTTGTTGGGTGTGACATTGAAGGCACAGTAAACAAAAAAAGAAATATACAAATTGCATTTAATGAAAATTAAGAACTTTGGTACACCAAAGTATAGTATCAATAGTAAAGAGGCAACCTACAGAATAGGGAAAAATATTGGCAAGTCATATATCTGGTAAGGGATTGATATCCAGACTATGTAGAAAATTTAAAACTCAACAACAAAAGAACCCAATTCAAATATTACAGGTTTCAAATAGACATTTTTCCAAAGAAGATATGTAGATGGCGACTTCCAGTCGAGATGGAGGTACAGGTAAACATGCCTTGCCTCTTTGCACAACTATAGAAAAAAAATACAGCTAGACTACCACACAAATATTACCCAGAATTGTCAGAAATCAGGCTGTATGGAAGTCCAACAACCAAGGCTTTAAAGAAGCCACATTTATCCAGATGGATAGGAGCTGCAGAGATGTGGAGCTGCATGAGGAGGTGCGGAGAGGTGGAGAAGAATGGAGAGGTGGAGAGGCACAGAGTGGTGGAAATGTGGCTAGGCA